GAGTCCTCTTTGGTCAACAAGGTGGCATCACAACTGCAGGGTTAAGGGTTTGAATCCGGCCTCCATTCTTTGTATGTGGAGTTTGCATGATCTCCTCTGGGTGCTCTGGTTTCCTACCACAATACAAAAACATTCAGTTTGCATGCACTAGCATCCCATCTGGAGAATACCCTAGACTTGTGCTGCACTCTCCACCACCAACCCAACAACCCTGACTGGGACAGTTGAGATGGATGCTAAAGACACAACCCCTGTGTTCAGTACTTGAGGTGCATATTCAACATGACCTTTGACCCCTCTGTCACACATCCCAATGTGGATAATGACACCCAGTGGTGGGTCAGCCATGGCATCAAAAGCTACCGTCCAACCCACTGCCAGTGATTGGTCATCCAGAGATTACAGAGCCTGGGGTACGAATCCAGTCCAAAGCGTTAACACCCTGGCTGCTTAAGTGTAAAGGCACCTGAGTTGTGTAGACAGGGGCCCCTGAAGGTCATCACGGACAGCCTCTCTCAGGCCGGTGTGACGGCTCTTTGCGGTGGGATACGTCACTCTTTGGAGTTTATCGAGGACTGATCCAGAGTTCATCCAGGTCTGGGATCTCAACCCATTCAGTTGCTTTTCCATATTATTTCATTACCAGATGCTTTTATCCCAAGAAAAGTCCAATTTTGAGAGAGCAGGGGCTCATTGGGTCATTGGGGAAATTTGAGGTTTAGGGCCTTGCTCAAGTTAAACACCGAATGTACATACACCTCAGATAAAAAGAATGGCCACCAGTCTGATGATGAAATCTGTCAATCTGCGGAGATCCTTCCATTCTGTACCACATCAGTGCCAATAAAACATCTTATTCTAAACCTAACATCTTCATCTAAACAACAGTGTGTTTTGTGGAAAACGCGGTGCCTTCTTTACGCTGCATTACAAACCGCTTGTTGATGACCGCCATGTTTTATGTCTGTTAAATGCTGTCTCAGGGCTGCCTCGCACCTTCGGGCGGTTGGTGTGCGTCGGCCTTGTTCTCCCCGTCTTCGGACGGCTCTCCTCTGGGTTTTCCGGCCTCCTCCTAAGGCCTGAAGATTTGCGCTTCAGTTGAGCCGGTATCTCTAAATTACCCGCGTGTGTGAGTGTGGTCCCATCCTCCCCCCCCCCCCCAGCTTCCCAGGCTAAGCTCTGGGCTCACTGGGAGCCCGTCCTGGATAACCGGCTGGGGGTGGCTGGGTAATGGAGCACGGATTCGCAAGGGGCAAATTCGTCAGTGGAACCTGTAGAGAATGTGATGGTGCCCCAGAGTATCCATGAACATCACTTATCACTATAGGCTTTGGGCCGCCTCCTTAAGTGCACTCACAGTAATGCTCACGTCTCCAGTAAGAAGGGTACCCTTAACCTGCATTTTGCCACACACACGCTAGTACAAATGGCCTGCAATATGAATAAAACATGAGTAGAAAACATGAATAAATAATTATACAGCATAATATTATATAAGCTACGGACAGCTATTAAGTAACACTCAAGATACACTCTTATTATAACCGACTGCGGTTTTTCACTTCTTTTCGGCCGGGGATCAGATGAATACTGGGGGATAGTGGCCATCTGTAATCCCAACTTTCATCTAGAGCCTCGGGTTTTGGGATCAGAACAACAAAAATAATTTATTCAGCACTCTGGATGAAATAAAAACAGGTGTAATTGTTTGGATTTCCTCCGTGACCTTTTTTAAGAGCGCGTCCATCATGCATTATGCATGGGCCCTGAGCGGAGTGTACGCAAAGCGCTGCCACACTAATTGGTTGGAGTTAAACTCCGGAGGTGCAGCTCTATTTCTGGCAAATTTTGGGCTCCCCTTCCCCCCTCGCCAGACTCTTGAAACTCCGCCCCCCCCCCCCCCTCCATTTGCAGGTTAACCCACGTTTATTTACCTCCAAATAGACCCGTTTTCTGAGTGACAGAAAAACGCTTTATGCAAAGTAGGCGAGCCGGCACTTTGGAGGGTTACCTGGGGCATCTGGGAGATAATGATATCCGAAATTATGCTTGCTGTCAGCGATGAACCGACAGGGTGTGTGCGTGTGTGTGTAAGTGTGCATACGTGTGTGTGTGTGTGTGTGTGTGTTGCCATTTCTCACTCTGCAGTCTTATTACTGAAACCTTAAGTAATTTCAGCACGACGGCAATTAGAAGTTTGTCGAAAGCACTTTCCCTGTTCGCCAAAAGTTGGGCATGGGAGTGGGTGGCTATTTCCTGCTCTTAAAGTGAGCCTATTTACATATTTTTGGCTAAAACTTTGGATTTTGCAATCCCACCTCAAATAGAACCTCACATGGCACTCCAGGCTGGACCACGCGTTGCTACAGGTAGGACCGTGTCATCCAGGGAGTCAGCCTGCAGTTGTACGTGCCCCGTGCTCCAGGTATGAGGCAGGCATTGCGGTGAGGTGGCAGCGGGGGCCGCCGGAGGGGGAGGGGTTAACTGTCAGAAGCTGTCTTGTCTGCCAGGCGCCAGCAGATGTGGGGGAACCACTCGGCGGGACGCCTTCGTTTCCATCTGGCCCCTTTTCAGGGTGGCACCTATTTAGTGGAGGGAGTGCCGGCTGCGTACGCAGTGAGGGAGCGAGGTAGCGTGCAGAGACGCCTGCAGGGGGCGACGTGGCGCACCTGCGGCTATGTTCGGGGGCCTTTGCGCCTGTCACTTCCATCTACTGCTCCTCGCAGACGGCAGTGATCGGGCAGTGGAGGATGAGGGGCCTCGGAAAGCGAGCTCCCACAGGGGCTTTTGTAAAATTACCCATTTCATCTTTGTTTTGCGCTCACCTGTTTATATTTGTGTGCCACAGTTAGAAACACCCAGAGCTCCGATACCTGTCGGGCCCATGATGCAAGACACCTGTAGTAATAGTAAACACGTGGATACGTGTTCACTGTCATGCTGAAGACACGTGATTTAGGTCTGAAATGGCAGGCATGTGTGTGAGTACATTCACGCGGCTGTGTGTGTGTGTGTGCGTGTGCGTGTGAGAGAGCACACTTAATTTAGCAGGTGCGCTCTGACAGTTTTTGAACGCGAGCCAGGCTCATTCCGCGCAGCCCCCAGTTCGCATCTGTGGGGGGCGGTGGCGTGACAGATGGGGACGGTTTAACTTCCAGAGTTCAGTTAAGATCTGGAGGCCTGCAGAGCCTGGCCGTGCCAAGCAGGTGTGCGCCTGCTACCCGAAGAGAGCTACCCCCCGTCACCCCCGCTGCCACCCCCCCAGGCTCTGAGCGATGTTGGGGAAAGTCCAGAGAGTCTCTAGGGAACGGGGCAGGATTCTCGACGAGATCACTGGTATGTCCTGCTGGACAAGTCGCCTTAGCCTCATTGTGGATCATCAGAATAACAGAGGACTTAATTCATACAATGGGGGCGACTTTTCATTACCCAATGATATGATTAGAATTGGTGAGTGACAGGTGAGGGGGCTCTCTGGTGGCAAATCAGCTTTCAGCTAGGGCCAGTGCCCCTGTGGCCCCACCCCTGTATATGTCCCTGGGCTTAATCACCTTGCCGACAACAGAACTGGCAGCAGTTGATGTGTGTATGAGGACAGAGGCGTATTGTGGGGTTGAATCTAAAGCAAACCTTCCTTATTCGATAGCCCATCACTCAGCCTAAATGTGTCAAGGGAAAAGTCAGGAAGAGTGAATGTGACAACTGAGAAGAATGTTTCTACTTTTAATTATACATTCAGCCTTTCTTTCTCTATTGATCCCCAGTTAAAGTGATCATTAACCTCCTGTCTGTCTCCCAATTTTGTTTATTTGCCTGGAGGATACTATGCAGCATTGATAGGGGGATCTCTCTGAATCGGCTAGTTTGGTCTTCCAGGCTCAGTGTCGAGCTCAGAGCAGCAAGCAATAAATCCGACCTGGCAACATGCCCGGCATTCTGTCTTGCCAACTTTCCATGTGTCACCCTGTACCTTTCAGAATAGTGCCAGCCAGCCCATCAGGTAACATAGGTGGCCGTCTAGAACGGCATCTTCTGAAGGGCCGTCGACTTTGTAAACTTCACTTTGTCTCGGAGGAGGGCGTCAGTGGTGAAGCACCACATGGGCTTCATTGGTTACTGCCCCAGAGGTCATCACAGTTAAAACTACTTAACAGGAGAGATCAACTCTGTTATGATAGCATCACCGGCCTGAAAACGCAATAGGATGAAATCATAATCTGCCATCTCCCACAAGCATCACAACACCTGTTTTGTGACAGTGACTTTTAAAACAACCTTTCTTATAGGTAATATCAGGGACGGAAGCACAAAAGCAAAGGACAGTGACTCTAGAGGTAAACAAAATGACCGACCGATTGATGGAGGCTTGCGTTGGAGTCTGGAGACAAAAATGCAGCAGGTTACAGGGGCAGCAAATGGACGTCGTCACAGCCTGACTGGCCGTTATATGAGAGAGAGTCACAGAACTGTGGAGACCCAACATCCCACGAACAATTTCTAAATCTAATTGAAAATCTTTTAACTTTGTTATGATTTTGAGTCTCAAATGAATACCCAAGGCGTGTGTTCTAATTCCTTTTATGGCCTTCGCTCGTTAAAGATTACCAAGGAACTGAGGACATCCAATGGCCCCCTGTCAGAATGGAAAGTCCCTACTGCTTCTAGGACATTTCTGAGAGCTTCTGTGTCAGTGGGGGTACCATGTCCCTTACTGGAAACGTCCCACCCAGGTCATGCGACATCCGGCGTGGCATCCAGATTGCTTATGGCGGCCCTTCGCGGCAGTTTCGCTCTGAGAGGAGGACCGCACATCTGTGCGAGCGTGTGGGGAAGTCCACTTCCTCAAGCCAACAGGCCACTTTCACTTCTGCCGCACACCTAAGGTCGGGGGCATGAGGGAGGGGCGGGGACTGGTGTGTGTGTGTGTGGGGGGGGGGGGGAATATGTATTTACCAGCGTGCATTTAAGCATCGCTCTCAGAGTTAAGGTGGACCTGGGGCCAGAAGGAAGTGCTGGGCTGGTGGTGGTGGGGGGGGGGTGCTGGTGTCCTGCAGGAAAGGGGAAGATGGTCCTGCCCATGAGTGCAGCTGGTTCCTGACAGAGGAAGCTGAGACGGAGGCAGAAGGCTGGTGTCTCTGTGCTATCACCTCCATGCAGCTCTGTTTACCTTCCCCTCACCCCCCCACCCCTCCTACACGGGGGACGGGGCCACGCAGTCACGCTCTCTCTCTCTCTCCCTCTCTCTCTCACACACACGCTCTCTTGCTGCATCCCCTGAAGGAAACCCTCAGTCCCCCTGCTCTGCTCCCAGCCACTGGCAGTCTGCCCTGGCTTCGATTCTGGACCGGCACCTTCCTGGAACCGCACCCGACTGCTGCATCTGACCCGCTTTAATGGACTTTTGAGTGAGTGAGGAAGAGAAACAGAGGGAGAGAGAGAGAGAAAGAAAGAGAGGGAGGGGAGAGGGGAAGGAGGAGAGAAGGACCCAATATTGGAGTCTCTGTCAAACGCCAGAGAGGGTCATGGGAACGCAGGAGCAGCAAGAGATCGGGAGGTCATCCACGTCATCTTGTTAAACGCCGGGCACCAAGAAGAAGGATTAAGTCACAGAGAAGTGGAAAGAAAGTTCTGGAGGACGGCTGCACTCCATGTGATTTCCATGTGTGTTTCTCAGGCTCCTGCTCTTGCCATTACGACTGCTGATCTCACACTGTTGGAAACCGCAACCCTAGTGGGCTCTGTGAGCTCAGCACTGGTTCCGCCAGCGTGGAAGGGGGTCCACTCCCACTCAGCAGGGGTCTGACCTCTCGCAATGAGGTCGCCCTCCTCATCGTCGCTGGCGCAAAGGCTGACTTAGAGGGGACGACTTTCTGGTGTTCTTCTTGTAAGCCGGAACTTGGAGACCGTTGCATTTGGTCCGTAGTACCTGCCCTAACCTGACAAAGTCAGAAATTCAATGTTTGGTGACCTCCGCCCCCCCCAAGAATGCAGAAGCTGTCTACGGAGTTGCACTTCCATCGCCCACAGGGATCTGACTCTGAGAAGGTGTCTCCCGTAGCCCTGAGGATCCCCACCGTGACACTGACCAGCCAGAACGCCATGGCAGCCCGACGCTCTGCACATGGAGTCACCCCCACGTCTCCCCCTGCAGGCCGGGGAGCCAGGAGAGCCCCTGAAGGTCAGTGCCAATCCCTCAATGGCTGTCTGTTTGGGGCAGCAGATATACTGTACATCATTTACCTCAGTCATGGTCTCTCCTATGTTCTTTACCTCTCTTCTCAAATGTTGAAGTATCAGGGAAAACACGCACTCTGCTCTGTGCTCTTGGGATAGATACCGTGAGCTATTTTAAGACATGTTTTTATATACAATATTTCTAATTAGGGAACTTAATCTTCTCTGGGGTTCCCCTCGTAATGACGGTCGAGTCAAACAAACTTTCCCTGGGGAAAGTGAGCAAACGAAAAGCCCAGATAGTCAGTTCTTATGGTATTATCAGGCCTCTCGGCTCTGCCACGGCACAGCCACTGGCCACTAGGTGGCCCAGTGGTTAAGGAACAAGTCGGAAGTTTGCCTGGCTGTTGATCTTTATATTTAACTTCTTATTTACCCTGTTTGCTTAAGTAGTGAAATCCCCACCAACCTAGTATAAACTTATCAGGTGTGGAAGTCTCTGTGGGTTGAAGGCATCTGCTAGACTAAGGGTGCATAATCCTGGAGGGGTTGGGAGATTAAGCCCAAGGTGGAGATCATCCATCCCTGTCAGACTTTCACTATCCCACACATCAGCTAGTGCAGGACGAGGCACAAGACTGTGGCAGATGATGCGTGACTGATGATTGGCGAAATGTGATTTGTTTTATTGTGTGTGTGTGTGGGTAGTAGCGTGTGTGTGTGTGTGTGCTGATGACACCTGCTTTGGTGAGACCCCGTGTTTCTCCTGCTTTGAGGCAGATGTCTTGCCGGTCGACGACAGACTATAACAGGAGAAATACAGCGTAAGTTATACACTTTTCATAAATCAGAAAGCCAAGGAAAACTCAAAAAAAAAAGAGTCATTAAAGTGGTACTTTGGAGCTCCTAAATATTTAAGGGGGGTGGGGGCTGCGTCAAAGAAGCATTAACACCCCACGCAGTGAATTACCTGTGACAGCCCCCAGGTTTTTCTTCACGGTAATGAGCTCTGTGATAAGCACTCTATAAATAGGCTTAGTCATAGGCGTCCTCTGTAATTCCCTGATAAAGCAAGAAGGACCCCAGGAAACGCTCACTCTATCCATCAGGTTCGTTTTCGAGTTAGGCGGGGGGGTTCTTGCCCGTTTCTGTGGGGGAGTTTACCTGTTTGCCAGGTGAGCTGGGGTTGTGGGGGGAGGGGGCAGGGGGAGCAGGTCGTACGGAGGTACCAGCTTTAGTTCGGCGCCTAACCCCCCCCATATTTTGGGGCGTTATGAGAAACAGCCGGAGCTTCCTGCTCAGGAGCAGATGTCGGAGGGCTCAGGCACAGCTGGGGAGGCCGATAACCGCAGCGGCAGGGAGACGGAGGACTGCTGAATCCTCTGCCGCCCCCGACCACACACCCCCGTCTTATCACCGCGAACACAGCACACGCTGCACCACAATGAGGAACTGCCACCCCCCCCCCTTCCAGAGCAGGCAGGCCCTTATGGCACTGCTTCAGTGTGGTGGGGGGGTTGGGCAGGCACTGGCCAGCAAGCCTCTTGGGGCTCGCTGACCACTGTTACTCAGAGAGAGAAAAACAAATCAAAATAAAAAACTTCACTTCCTTGTTCAGCACCTGTGCTAAATGTGGCAATCGCCAGGTTGCTTGTTCTCATTGTCATTTGAGGCCTCACACGCGCTCGTGACGGCCTCGCACAAGTACGTGCATAGGAAAAGTGGATCCCAGACTGGCACCATCTGATTGGTCTACTTGTGGAAATCTTTTTTTTTTTTTTCTAATGATCGTTAGCTGACACAGTTACCAGCTGACCCAGTAACTCAAAATGTTAAAAAAAACTGTTATATGGACTGAAACTGATCTGACATGGATCTGTTAGTAATGTCTGTAATCCAGAACACCAAGGGAGAGTGCCATAAGATGAAGAGGAGTGTGCTTGTGCGTGCTGGTGTATGTGTGTGTGTATGTGTCTGTGTGTGTGTGTGTGTGTGTGTGTGTGTGTGGCACAGTCTCTCCCAGCAGTCATCTCTCCCACTTCTACTGCACTGCCCTTTCAGTTCCTGAGGAACAGATGTTCGCAACTGGAAATAGTGGAAATGGCGCATTAACCCCTGCAGTGTTGATCCTCCACAGTGCGGGGCTCGCTCCACGCTGATCATGCACTGGAGTGCGCACGTGCACGGACACAGTTCATATATTCCTATCATTGTGGGGACTCTCCATTCACTTCTATGGGCATGTAAGCCTATGTAGAGACATACGATGTATGCGGCGTACGGACAGGTTCCTGCTTATCTACCTCAGTCCAATCAGAGGTGACACTGGGCATCACAGTGACGTTTAATGCCAGCAGTGCCTCCTGCACACCACCCGAGGAGACGTGAGAATTCCCCAGCAATGCCTTACAGACAGCATCTGTGCTCCCCACCTGCCCCCCCCCCCCCCCCCCCCCCGCGTGCCCAGGACCCCCCTGACCCCGACGTCCTTGTAAACCGGTGGGTTCATCCGGTGGCTTGGGAGGCCCGTGCACGCGGCTCCCGGGGGTGGGGCATTTTCTGGAAGCTTCAGAGGGAGGGAAGTGCAGCGCAGGCTGCTGGCTTCACGCACATATCGCACGTTACGTATTACATGCATTTCGCCTCCATTGCTGTCAGCGATGACTATTCAGAAATGAGTCCTTTTATCCAATTTTTAGGTTGCAGAATTTTCTGTCAGGTCTGCTGGTTGTTTTTTTTGGAGAGGATCCCAGGTCTGACCTCACTGACATCCTTCCATGTTGTCCCGGCCGCCGTCTGACAACAAATGATTTTTCTTGGTTTCCACAGCCCCCCCCCCAAAAGTAGGCGTGATATGCCACGTGGGTTTTTAATTGGGAGCTCCTGTAATAACTGATATTTTGTGCCGATCTGATGCGCCGTGGCACAATGACCCCCCCCCCCCCCCCCACCCTTCCCCACCAGCCGGCGGCAACAGTCTTATCTCCTTTGAACACGCTACCGTGTGACTGGCGCACTGGGGAAGGATTTGTGGCACGTGAGCCGAGGACTGGCCATGGGTCCTCTCGTCCGCGCCTCCCCCAGGCTCCCATTTACATGACCCCTGTTCGGCACCCCTCCGTGGTATCGATCCATCTGCTTACCTCGCACTGATACTCCTGCTAAGGTATCAGATTGGGAATCGGCAATGTGGGTTTAACGTGTTTTTTTTTTAAGACTCAATAATAAAAATCAGACAGAGCCTAAAGTAGTATGACATGAAGGCGAGGGCGCCCCCTAGGTGCAACCAGTAGTCACCAAACTTAGTGCCGCATCTACCGAAACGGGTCGACGTCTATTGGATTCTCTTGCAATGTCCCGGCCACAAATCTGGCAATGAAACTGCGAATGAGGCAGAGGAGTGACAGCCGGTCTGCCATCAATCTCGGGAATTGTTGGGGAATGAGAGTGGCGTTGCGTCGCTCAAGTGCCCGTCACCATCAGGGGAATCAATTTTGGGTGCCCCAGACTCTGGCCCCACCCCCACAACTGTCAATCAAATCTCACCCACCCAATCACAGCATCTAAGTCATTTTAAATCAGCATTTAAATAAACTAGTGACAATATAACAATATTCAAATAAAGAAGCTTCAAAAGTATATTGCGAAGCATATATTTGGAGCATATGTAGCTGAGTATTATATGCACAGAAGGGTACAGTATTATACAGTGGTCTCTGTATGGCCAGTGGTCTCTGTAGGGTCGTGTCGATAATCCAGTGTTGGAGAACATAGCAACCTAAGCGAACCCCGCCCAGTGAGATGGGCACGGATGAGGTACCTTTGGGTAATCCCCTCTACCCCCTCCTCTCAACGGCTAACACTAAATGCTTCTAAATTACAATGTACAGCCAGTCTCCATGCTGATCTCTTACAGAAGAGCGTGGTGGAGGAAGTATAGGAGGATTGGAGTCAATAGGCATAGTTACATTATTTTACCCCTTCCCAGTAGCTGCCCCATTCCAGGTCTGCCACCACTGACATCTGATGGCGACATAGCGTATGTTGGCTGGAGTTATAATCAGTTGCTTACAGACAACACCAAAGTGGCTGCCCATAGTATATGATTGCATGAATGAGTCCAAGGATGCACAATATTTCTAATACATTTATTTCAAATACATATTTTAAATACAAAATTGTATTTTCTGAGTTGTATTTGACTTCATAAAAAATATCATGTAATTTGTATCAAAGTACTTTGACATTCAGTATATTTGTATTTTGAAAATATAAGAATTACTTTCTCCGTAATGTATGCGCGAGGATGTCATGTGTGCAGAACATCTGCGTGTACATAACAAGGAAGCCTCGATTTTTCAGGCATTTTAATAAATGGTCATTGGTGCCCTGCGATGGGTTGTTGCCATGCGATGGGTTGTTGCCCTGCGATGGGTTGTTGCCCTGCGATGGGTTGTTGCCCTGCGATGGGTTGTTGTCTTCCTTGTACTCATAGCCTCCAGGATAGGCTCCTGACCCCCTGCAACCCTGAACACGATAAGCAAGTACAGAAGATGGATGGATGGATGGATGGATGGATGGATGGATGGTCGGTCGGTCGGTCATTAGGGCCAATAGTTCACTTGTGTTGAACCAAAAGACTTTTAAGCTGAGTTCAAGCCCATTCATGTTTAAAGTTATTAAGATGTTGCTGAGTAAAGTGCTTAAACTGTGTTTGTCATTTTTCATTTTAAATGTTGTTGTTTTTTTTATTTGCATCTGTGGTGCAAAAATGAAACAGTTCTGTCAGTATAACAAAACAAACAAACAAACAATAACCAAAAAACGACAAACCTTTCTGAGTATGTTATCACTACTTTTTCATTCGATTGACTTAACGTTACCTGAATGTTCACGTGAGTAGTTAGGATATATGTAAGATACTGCAGAATATCTGATCTTTTGTTTGGTTTCATACTTGTATTTTGTCACGTTAAGCAATAAAAAAGTGCTGTTCATATGCGT